TCTTTTCTGTTCAAGGTACTTGGTAAACATACTCTACTGATTATTATTATTATTATTATTATTACATTTTTTTCTTCTTCTTCTTACATTCATATACATCAATCCAAATTCGTTAAGATTTCCTTGCGTTTACTTCGAACAGCATCAAATTACATACAAGCTGCACACATAGCACATACATATACATATACATATATACATATACGAGTCGATTGAAATTTATACTTCTCTCTCTCTTCTATACTCTCATACGCGTGCTTATATTGATCGTTTCGTATTGAAAAAAAAAAGAACTAAGAAGAAGAAGAAAACGACAGATTAATGAATATCATTGCCATTATCATATTATTCTCTATTTTTCTTTCGAATATCTAAAACAAAAGTGAAGAAACATCTAAAGTTGTGAAATCTACAAATATATAAATCAAGTGAGTAAGTTAAAAAATTATTTTTATGATCGCGTTCTTCTTTTTTTTTTTTATTGCTACTCAAGTTTTGACTAGTTCGTGTGTATTATTACATTCATGTGTGAACAGAAATTCCACATACAGTCAACGATTTATAAACTATTGTATATGTTTATTTCGAAAGATTCTTTTTCTTTTTTTTTTTGTTCCTTTGTATTTTGTGACGACAGAATGACAGAGAAAAAATGATATATCATTTCGTACGTAAGATAATGAGATGAAGTAAGAACAAAAAGAGAAAAGAATAATAACAACAATCATATCAGTATATTTTAATTCTTCTTTTTCAAAATGACTTTTCTTTTTTCTTTTTTTTGTGGTTATATAAAGTAACTAAAGAACAAAAAAGATGAGAGTAGATGATAAAATATCATTGTTAAGATTCATTTCACATCTATCCCGTGCAGTTGAAAACAAGTTGTGGCTTTTTTTTTTCGGTGGAGCTTGTCTATATTCGAGTACAACATACGTAAGTCACTATTGGAAAGTGAGAAAAGAATAACGCCTTTTGTCCATGATTACTGTTAGGAGAGAGAAAGAATAAAACAAAATTTATCTTTTACGAATTTATGATTGATACTTTATTACCACTACTAGTCATGCGAAATTGAACAGTGAGATAAATTTTCATATTAAGTGGTTAGAAATGCAGACAGCGACTGTTCTTTTTCAATTTTTTTTTGTCTTATCGGTTTATATGAACAAGACGCTCGTTTTGCTCTATTAAATGAAAAAGATAACCCATTCAATTTTTAGATTTTTTCTTTTTTGATGCCATTTTGAAATGATTAATATATATGTGACGAATTGAGATATTCTTGTGGTGTTGTTTAACATTCTTTTGACGTGGTCTTTTTTGTGTAGAAGGTAATCACGCAACTTCAATTACTTGTTATTGTTGCAAATATGAAAAAATAAAAGATATTAAAAGAAAAAAAAAGGAATATTATACAAACAAATGACATTCTTTTCATCTTTTAGCTTAATCATTAGTTATACATATGCATCTTCTCCCAAAAGGTATTTAAAAAAAAAGACGATGATGATCTGACGATCAGCTTTAAGTACATGAAAGATGCTTGACTGAATTCAACTGTATATACTCGATATAAACACACGAATATACTCAAAAGGATAACACCTTGAAGCGTTTGTACATTGACAAGTGGCACAATTCTATTGACCCGTATATTTATATATGCATGCATGCATGCATTCATGTGCGTAAAAGTAGATTCTAAAGAAGAGAAAAGTGAAGTGGATGTGTTGTTTGACTTAGTTGACTGACTACAGTCAAACTAAACGTATACTGGAAGCAAATATATACATATAAATCTGTACATATATATATGTATGAATATAAAGAAGAAGAACTCTTGCACATACACAAATCATATATATCAATAGATATTTAGTTAGAAAATAATATTTAATTGTACAAATTAATTAAAACAATTTATTCGTAGATAAGTCAAAGAAAATGGACAGATAAAGTCAATTTCTCTTATTTGTTTTCAATTAAAATGTAATACTATGAAGAAGAGAAAAAAAAACAACTATTTCTTACTTCAACCTGATTACATATATGTAGACCTAAGAAAAAAAATGAACATACAACAATATTATAAATTGAACAGAATGATTAATGAGTTAGATCAATACCAATAGTAATGTTATACATGAAGAAAAAAAAAAACGTTCATATCATAAAGAGTTTTAATAATAAAATCTATACGAGCGGTATGCAACAAAGAAAGATTTGCATTTTTGATTCTATTATTTACAACTTTTTCAAGTGGATTGAGATAGTATGATGATTTTTCATTCAGATATTGTAAAAAAAATATCCATTTACCAATACTACTAATAGTTGAATAGATGCAAATTAAAGTATCATATATTGCTGTCATTGAAAAATCTTATCTAATAAACGAGACAATCTTATGTTGATAGATTTCCTCTTTGTTTGATAAATATGAAAATAATAGATAAAATAATTTTGAGTTCATAAAAATGCTAGTTATAAGGTCGATAGAAAGTAAAAAAAAATACGAAATAATTGAAATTTAAATGAGCATACTATATCATTTTTCTTTTTACTAATTGTTGTATTCGTTATTTATATACGGCAAGAACAAAGTGCATAAAAACTTTTTTATAGTGACTGTCAATATTCATTTCATCACTTTTTGCACACATGAAATATCGCAATTTATCATCACGTTATTCATGATATGCATTAATAGCTTTTAAATGTAGGGACAACAGTTATACGAGCGTATTAATATTCAAATTCGTTCGAAATAACAAAAAAGAAAACATGAATAGAATAATATCTATGATATTATTATTATTGAGATAATGTAAGATAATACTAATAGTGTTATTAATGACGAACTACAAACGAAAATAACCTTTCGTACTTGTTTTTTTCTATCAATATTTTTGTCGAGATTATGATACCATTTGATGTTTCATTATTAGAAAGTTAATTATTTTTTCTTTGCATATATATCTTTCATTTGATTAATAATGTTTTTTCTTTTTCAATCAGTTTTTAGTACAGTTACTTATGAATAAATAGTTATACTTGAAGAAGAAAAATATATGTTAGAAAGTAATATATGCGTTTTATTATCAACGACAAAATGAACAAGATGACATATATGATTGTACATTTTTTCTGTTCTTTTTCTTGGACAAAATAGAAGAAGAATCATCGAGATTTTAATGTTTTTTTTCTTTCATTTATTGATGTATCTCAATATAATTAGTAACGAATGAAAATATATATTAAAAAAAACTAGTTTTAAAATAAAAACTATCAATTTGAAGAAAATTATTGTAAAAGGTTATCGAGACAAATCTCATTGTCTTCTTCTTCTTCTCTATGTATGCCTATGCATGTTTGTGTTCATATTGGCGCGTGCCATATCTCTTTCTATTGTTGGAACAAAAAAAAAATGAAGTAAAGGTTAAACACAAGACATTTGAATGGTAATAGTAAATAGGCCATCGACAGCATCACTACTACTATTATCATCAACACTAGCAGCTTGATTCTATTGTAGTAATGATGGAAGTGAAGACGAATCACACAAATGGAATTTTCTATCTTTCTCTTCTATCATTTATTCGCTTTTTTTTTTGTTGCATTCATTCGTTTGATGAAGTAATTTTATCTCTTCGTCTTTCTAATATTCCATTTTCTTTTGCGATTGCATTGGATGCGATGAAATGTTGTCTAGTGCTGTTCGAGCAAGAAAACGACACATAAATTTATATATAGAAAGGAATTTGCTCTGTTCTTTCTTTGTTTTAAAAGAGAGAAGAACTGTACATAACAAACATCACCTTTTTTTTCTGCTTTTTTTTTCGTTATTTTCTTTCTTTACCCCGAAGAAACAAGTGAATAAGAGAGATATATTATACGATGATGATGATAATGATGCTATTATTTAGAAGGTAATGGCCTTTCAATAAAATAGTGTGAGAGAGTGGGAAAAAACGAACCGAAAAGAGAGAGAGAGAGAGAAGAAGGAGAAGAGAGAAAATCGAAATAGCGAAACGACGACACGTCGGGTAGACTTTCAGTGAATGTCCTTCGTATATTTCATATAGAAAAAAAAACAACATGGACGAAGAGAAAGAAGAAAGATAAAGAAAGCTAGAGAAGAGTTATCGAAGCGTATCGGTTAGCATTTTTATTTTGCTGCATTATTTTTTGTCTTGCTTTTCGTGTCTGATGATTAGATACACATATGAGTATGTTGACGAATAGTGGTAGTGAACGCAAATAGATAGTAAAAGACGTAGTAATGACAGGCGTTGTATTTTATATTTCCATACAACAACTCATCATGCAGGTTTTTTCTTTTTGAGCAACACATACATACATGCGCACAAGCAGACGAGCACACACATGCACATTTCAAGGATATCGCATTTCAAAATGGGGCTCGAGGGTTTGATAGGGTTATAAAGAAAAAAGAAAGGAAAAGTATATACAGGTTTGTACAACACCCGACCGAATCAAATATGTAATTATCAGCAATTTTTCCCAATTCATTATTCACATTATGATAAATATTTTTTAGTGTTTCTTTATTTTTTTTTTGTCAAACATTAAAAGTCAAGTGGTTAAACAGCTTAGATTGTATGCATTTTTTCTCTGTCTCTCATTCACTACTTAGAGCATTTTAGTTCTTAAATATAGAGATAAAAGAAACTAAGTAGATATGCATTAGTCATTTTAAAAGAAGAAAGAGAAGATAAATGCGTTATTGTATTGTTTAGTTCATACCAGCGAAGATCAAATATATGAAACAGAAAAAAAACAATATTTCTTAATTATTTTTTCTTTTTCTTCTTGTTTATTTATCAATTTCTTCAAAAGAAAATTTCATTTTGTCTTCTAGTTGATGTTATCATTTGTTTGTTGATTCGTCTAGTCGTTAATTAAGACAAAGAATAAAATATTCCCCGGTCGAAAAAAAACTAATTTAAAATAAAAAAAAAACTTCATAAGCAAATATGATGCAAGTTGGCACAAACCAATCGACTACATATCATAGTCAACCATCATTAACTACATCAGGTGGACAGGCAAGTCGTTCATCATCAACATCTCGTCAACAACAACAACAACAATCTCAATATGATAGTGAACAATTAGCAAATATTCGTCCTCGTTTATGTGTTTTACGTAAATGGCCTCATTATGACGGTAACAAAAAAAACAGTTTTTTTTGCAAAAAATTGAAATAAATTTTGATTATTGTTTGTTTCTGTTGTAGGTTATGGTGTTCATTTAGCTCGTAATCAACATTGGCTTGGTTTACGTATTGGTGATGTTGAACCAAATAGCCCGGCTGAAAGTGGTGGTCTTTTACGTGAAGATGTAGTTCTTGCTGTGAATGGTCATTCAGTTGAAAATGATGATTTTTTTGTTATACTTTCATTTATTCAACGTGAACTTGAAGATGATCAAATTCGATTTTTAGTACTTGATCCACATAGTGCAGATTTAGCTCGACGTCATCATTTAAATATTGATGAAAATTATCGAACATGTGTTCGAATGGAAACACCAACAGTAACTGTAAGTGCAGAAAAACTTCTCTATGATCAATGGCGTACAACAAATAATAATGATCCAACAGTGGCACAAAATACAATACATCTTGGACCAACATTATCATTAAATCAAAATCAATCGAATTTAACAAATCAACGACTTCAAGAAAAATCATCACATCAAGGAACTGAGGTTTATACGTTTTTACCATATTCAGGTAGGTTTCTAGTATAAATTTTTGATAGAATAATCATAGATTATTACGTCAGGTTTTCTTTTTATAAACATAAAAAGAAATTTTCAATTCTTTTTTTTTTTTGTACTAAATCTTGTATGAACAAAAATACCTTATTACAGATTATGCGGTTGAGAACGGCAAGTCATTTTTTGATATTCTCTTCGAACAAGAAAATAAATCATCGTCAACCAGACAACAACAGCATTCACAAAATACTATAAAATATTCTCCTACTACAGGTGATACCGGTGATGATAATGATAATGAAAACAAACACCGCAGTAGTAATATCACAGAAAATGTTAAAGGTTTTGTTAAGTCAGGCATTGGAAGTCTTAAAAACCTTTTACCAACAAAACATCATGATGATAAAGATGAATATGATAATATTGATTCTAAACGTAAAAGTAGCAGCGGATCAATTGATATCTCACCTCGTGGTGATGAATCTCCATCATTTATTGACAAACTTAGAAATAAATTTAAACTTACAAGCAGTTCTTCAGATCCTACTGTTGTTCAAGAAAAGCCACCACAGCCATATGAACGTTTATGGCAAGCTTCATCTAAGTTAGAGGGTAGGAGATGAAAGAAAGCATGAAAATAATAATAAAATAAAAAGACAAACAAGACGCTTTTGGTTATGGATGCTGCTTATTATCTTTGACTAGTATTTCTTTTGTTTTTGTCGCATGATAATGCATGAAATGAAATTTCATTTTTATTTTTTACATATTAATTTAATTTATTTTCGATTTTTAGAGACAAATGACGATTTAAGATCAGAACCACGTATGTGTTCAATGACACTTCGACCAGGTATAGATACAATTGGAATATCATTAAAACAGGATAAAGACTTTGGTCATATTATTAAACAAGTTGAAGCAGATTCTTTAGCTGATCGTGCTGGTATTGAACGAGATGATTGTATTGTATCACTTAATGATATACCACTTCTTAATATTCCATACGATGAGGTTTTAAATGTTCTTAAACAGAGTCGTAATGAACGAAATCTTGATTTTCTTGTTGCAAAAAAATCTCATTTACTGAAATCACGTCAAAATAACGCAACATTAGATAACATTCAACAAGATACATCTGACAAATATCATGATACAACAGTAAATACAATTGCTCAAGTTATGCCATCATCAAATATATCTGAACGAGATATTTCATCAAGTACAGGTGCAGCACAAACATTAGAACAACTTTATAATAAATATAATAATGAACGACAATCATCATTTGATGATCAAACAAAGTCTACTCGACCAAGAGAAACAGTTTCAACGACAACAAATGAACGATATGATCGAGTTTCACCAACATTAGATGATGATCGATATTTATCGAAACAACAACAACAACAACAACAAGGACAAATTTTACAAGGTGTTGGTCCAGCTACAGCTGATCGATCATCATGGGGTGTATCAAGTGGAAAATCAACTGATCTACCAGCAGCAATTAGTGGCGATTCATCAATTCGTTCAAATACACAGGGTCGACGAACAGGTTAGTAAATTATCTCATAAATGTTTCTTTGAATAATGTTATTTAAATATTAAATATTTTTACATAACATTTACATGACATTTAGAAATTTTCATAAGAATGACCTTTAAATATAAATAACATTTCGTGTTGCTTTTTTCTCCTTCTCTTGAAAACTAATAATCGATACATACGAAATAATTACAAAAATCTAATAGATATAAATTTCAATTTCTTTTTCTTTTTTAAATATTTTATAAAATATATTTCTTTTTTTTTCTTGTATAGATGTAGATGATACAAAAGGACGTAGTCCATTAGAAGATGCTTTTAAACCTTTACAAGTTGGTATTACCAATCAAACACCAACACAACAAACAGGTAGTATCTCACCGACTACGATTCCAAGTATTCTTCCTGGTGATGGATATCGTACATCACGACCAACATCATCAATTGAACAACGAGATATTTCACCTAAACGTTTACCAAGTCCAGATAGAGCAGCAACAAGTACACGTGGTGATATAAATTCATCATCACGACAAAATCAAACTATTCAAAATCTTCAAACTACTACACCCATTATACCTGGTGAAGCATCATCTACAGTACCTGATTATAAACAAAGTTTGTTGACTTATTAATTTTTGTTTTGAATCAAAATTTTGTGTGTGTGTTCAGAAAGTTCTCAAACAACTCCATCAACTCAATCTGATCTTCGTTTAGGTAAGTAATCTTTTAAGAAATTCTATTTAAATATTTTGAAAAGAATGAAAACTATTGAAAAACCTTAAAAATAAATATGAATATACAGATTCTACGAAGGCAACTAATGCTCCGAGTAAACCTATCAAAACCAATACATCTATGACTATGTACGATGATACGGATGAGGATGATGATTTATCTGATATATCAGAAAGATCTCGTGAAGAAGATACTTCCGATTCTATTGTGAATAAAAATCTACAAACCAAGATTAGTGAAACTTCATATGACAAAAGAGATGCACCATATTCTGAATCATTAAAAACATCTACATCGGATCGTTATTCACCAGAAATTGCATCTGGTGATGAAGATGAATCATTGGCTATTCGTAAACAAGATCTTAATAATAAACAATCATTAGCATCAACAATATCGGATGCTGATGACCTACCAAATGTACCATCATATATAACTGGAAGACCACCTGTACAAGTTCGTCGTCAAGAACAATCTGATAGTGAAGATACAGCGTCAGGTGCTGATTCTCATACTCAAAAACGATCTAATGCAGATATATTTTATTCACCTGATGAATCTGTTGGTGATGAAAATGAAGTTGATGAACAACACCAAAAATCTTGGCGATCACCTGTACAACATAGAGTCATTCAAGTTCAATCTTCGGATAATAAACAAGATGATAGCGAAGAGGATGATCGCGATGATGACAAGGATTCCACTAGATCAATTTCATCTGAAAGTGAAAAAACACCTATACAATCAGGAAAAATGGCGTTGGGTGAGCCATTAATAAACATACTCATATTGGTGATATATGGTTCTATACTAATACTAATTATGTTTGCGATGCATCCCTTTTTACCTATCTCATTGAACATGAACGATATAATAACTTTTTACTATTCTTTAGACATTATTTTTTTTTTCTATAACCATTTATTAACTTAACATAATGAATTTAATATATATATATATTTTTTTAGCTACAATGCCTTTATCAGAACTAAAAGAACATGGTTATGAATTTCATAATATACAATTAATGCAACCAACTGAAACAAGTCCTGTCGGTCTTAAATTAACTAAACAACAAGATCCATTACAATATGTCATCACAGCTGTTGCTAAAGGAACAAAAGCTGATTTAGCTGGTCTTAAAGTTAATGATTGGCTTATTAAAATAGAAGATAATGATATACGTTTAGTTGAATTTTCTGAAGTTTCACAAGATATTCGTCAATTATTAACTAATGCTGGCTTAATTAATATGGTCGTAGCAAGAAAAAAAACATCATCACCAACAATTCAGCAATCTGATAAAGATCAAACAACAATATCATCATCAAGATCAGAATCAATTAATCGTCAACAAGGAGGTTAAATTCATATTTATTATTTTTCATATAGAAAAAAGAAAATAATAAACATACTCGTTTTTCTCTCTTGAATTTTAGGTCAAAATCCACCATCATTATTCACTCCTGATATAACACTTAATACACCGAATATTAGTCAAGTTCGTTTTGAACCTGATCAATCGACAAGTCCATCAACGGTACGTTCACCAACGTCTACTCGTGAAACAAATATTAATGCACCTGGTGGTCCATGGACAGTTGGTTTAACAAATCCAATATCCGATGAAAATCTAACAAGATCGCCACGTTCACAAAGTCGTTCACCAAGTCATTCACCAACACGTGAAAATACATTTAATCAACAAGAAAAAAAACCATTACCTAAACAACGTATGTTCTAATCTTAGTTGTAAAATTTATTCATTGTTCTTTTGTATAGCATCAGAAGAGTATGATGAAAACGATATTCGTCATATTGTATTAAAAGAAGCGTTAGGATTAGATTTTAATTCATTTATACCAGAAGGTGATAGTCAAGTTCAAACACATTTTATAAGTAATGTACAACCATTATCAATGGCTGATAAAGCTGGTTTACGTGATGGTGATCGCATATTAACAGTTAATGGTGTTGATGTAACAAATTCTATACATGAAGATGTTCGTCGAATGATGCAAACAAAAAAACCTTTACAATTAACAGTTGTGAATGATCCTAAATATTTAGAATTAATTGAAAATGTTAAACGTAATCAAAATAAAACAGAAACTACACGAGAAAAAAAGAGTTCACCACCACCCGATTATGAATCCGTTGAACAATCAAAACAAGGTAATTTACATAGTAGATTTTCTGTTTTTTGATTACAATGATTTTTACCAAAGTTGAGTACGGGCCAATATTTACTGTCCCGTTCTAATATCTTACTCCGTCATTGCGAGCGGCAAGACAAGACATTAATTATAATTTTGTCCTGTCCGACAAGACATCAGGACGTCTTGTCCTGTATCTAGCTCTGATTTTCATACTGTTTGTTTTTCTCATTTTTATTTTTATTATTATTATTATTATTATTATTATTAGGTTCAACTAGCCGTTCTCGTTCACCAGTAAAACAGATTTCAAGTGATTCAATGGAAGATGTGAAGGATTCTCGTTCGAAATCTGTGTCACCAAAACCAACCAATGATGATTTATCAAAACATCTTCGTATTTTATTTACTGATGATAGAGGTTCTGTTAAAATAAAACATTGTATTTTAAAAAAAGATCCAACGTATAATGGTTATGGTCTTGTATTACGTTATCAAAATGGTCTTCATTTAATTGATCAAGTGGAAGAAGGTTCACCGGCTTTTACTGCTGGTCTACGTGAAGATGATATTATTTTATTTGTTGATAAAAAAAATGTTGAATTATTAACACATGATGATGTTAAAATACTTATACGAAAATTATCCTTATCGAATACTAATATTGATTTAATATTAATTAAAAAAAATGATGTATCACGATATAAAAAATATCAAGAAAAAGATTCTATTGATTGGAAACCAATATTAGATGATCAGTCAAATAATGAAACAATACAAAGTAGGCAAATCACATATCGACGAAAATCATATCATAAAAAAAAATAATAATCATCATTATCTAATATACTTTCATCATCTTCTTCTTCTTTTTGCATGACAATGCATGTTTAATTTTTATTATATATATATACATGTTTACAGTGGATATCAAAATTATTCAACAAGGTTTATTTTAAAATTTTTCCCGCTCTCGTAAGCGTTAGGAAGAATCCAAACAATGGTACGAATAGAGAAAATTGTTTACACAAAAGGAATATAAGGAAATAAAAATAGTTATTAAATTTACAAAGAGAGAAACTCTAGAAAACCAAAACCCTAATTTTTTAACTGTTAGAACATGCAAATGTAATTTCGTTTAGATTTTATAGAATAATAGAGTAAACTATTCTCTAGGAAATGACATAATCTTCGTGTTTTCTGCGACGCTTTTTAACTGAGACACAGTAATCTTACAGACGCTCGTAAGATCGTTTTTTCCAATTTCCTATATAAAAATCATTTTTTCACCCTCAGTCAAATTGCTATATTTCAACCAGAAAACGTCGTAGAGATGTCAATGATATCTCATTTTTTAGAGAATGATCTATTCCATTGTTCCATAGAGCCTAAACAAAATTATATTGGAGCGCTCTAAATGTTGAAAAACTATAGTTATAGGTTTCTAGAGTCCCTACTATTGCAAATTTGCTAATCATTTTTTAATTTTCTTATATTCTTGTTGAAAACTATTGTTTCCATTCGAATTTCTACTTGAATTCTTTCTAATGTTTACAGCAGTGGAAAAAAATTCAAAAATAAACCTCACCTAATAATTTAACTATTCACTGTATAACTAATTTGTCTTTTTTTTTCTGTTGTTTTGTTTTTAATTGCCTTTCTTCATTGGCTTTAAGTCTTATAGATTAGTATTTTGTATATAATTGTGTGTTTAATGTGCATACTAATTTAATTAATCTCTTATTCAACATTACAATATGTTTTGCTTTAAAAAGAAAAAAGATAAAATAAAATAATTAACATTTGTCTTATTTTGCATGTCACACTTATTTAACTACTAACATTGTGTACGTTGACTATTTAATAATAATCAATTTTTATTGACGATTGATTTAATAATACTTTCGTATCATCGGTTTTTTTTCTTTTGTTCTTTAGCTGAACAATCAACATTTAACGCTAATCGTTCATCATATGATCAATCAAATACTTCACGTAAATCTTCTTCGTCATCTAATAAACAAATAGCACCAGCTCCACCAACATCCTCTACAAGTCAATTGACATCATCATCTGGTACTCGTGTTTGTATTTTACAACCATCTGCTGATCGTACAGCTGGTTTTGCACTTAGTGGTAAAACTCCTCCACCATATATTATTTGTCAAGTTGAAAAAAATTCTCCAGCTGATCAAGCTGGTTTGCTTGTTAATGATGTACTTATATCAATTAATGGAAAATCAGTAACTGAAACCAGTTATGACGAAACCGTTAAATTAGTTAAAGAAGCACTTCAAAAAAAAAATGTTGAACTTGTTGTTCGTGAGCAATCATCTCAATTAGATGACAGTACAAAAAATCAAGACCGAACAAAATTTTCCTTGGGTAGTATTGGTAGCAGTAATGCAGGAAATAAAGATAGTATTGGAGGAGAACCAAGTCAACAAGGTGCTAATGCTGTTGAAGAATATCAAAGTATGTAAACAGAGAGAGGGAAAAAAAAGAAAACAAAATAATGCTTCGAACGTTTTTTTTTATTTGTTGAATTTTTGTTTTGGTTTTTCCTCATCTGAAGCTTTTAAACATCACCTGACAATACTCACAGATATCTTTGCATGAAAATTTTCTTACCCTTACTCCATTTCATCAACAATGGCCAATTTTTTAAAATTACATACTTTTTTTTTGTTTGTTTTTGTTTATTTCAAATGGTGTGTTGTTTATTAAGCTGCTGTCGTTGTGGATGGATAGGGGATTAGTCAAGCCATATTGTCTTTTTCACAGATTCTTGAAGCTTAATATTTGATGACAACAAATGCCGCTTTTTCTTTGATATCTAAACACACAAATGCACATAAACACGTAGCTTCATAATTGCGATCAAAACTGAAATTAATTAGTGAGAAATGATCGATGTTTTTTTTGGAACGAGTAAAATTGCATTGTCTCATTTTTATTATGTTTTCAAAGAATGACCATTTTTTAATCAATAAGTTACTATAAAATTGGTAGGATCATGATCTATGGATTGTTGAAAAATATAGAAGAATGAAAAGGAAAATCACGTTTCATTAGAATTAATAGATATTACCGGCTGTACCAGGAATATTGCGACATTTAGTATTTTTCAAATATCTCAGCAGAGATCAATCGTATAATCTCGATTCTTTTTTTAAAAGATGCGTCGTAAAAAGTTCTACAAAAAAAATGTAAGAACAAATCCCTATAGAGTTTTTCTAATGGTGTCTCCTATATTCAAAATGAATAGATCAGATGATGGTCCTATGTTCCACGGTATTCAGTATTTGAAAAACATTTTTGTTTTGCAAATATGTCGCCTTGAGAAAATGACAATACCTTGATTTTTTTCAAAAGATGCACCATGAAAAATTCTTCAAAACTGTAAGACCAATCCCTATTGACTTCCTTAGATAGTGTCTCGAATACTCAAAATGCACAGGTCACATGACGGTATTATGTCTCACCGTAATTAGTATAACAAAAATATTTGGAAGACTTCTTTCTTATTTTGCGAATATCTCGACTTGGGAAAATGATAACGTCTTGATCTTATTTTTTCAAAGATGCGCCGTTGAAAGCTCTACAAAACCTATATGAGCAAGTTCCTATTGCGAAATAAAAATGTTTTCCAAACACTTAATACCATGGGACATAGGACCATCATATGACCTATTCATTTTGAATATAGGAGACACCATCAGAAAAACTCAATAGGGATTTGTTCTTACATTTTTTGTAGAGCTTTCCACGACGCATCTTTTAAAAAAAAGAATCAAGATTATACGATTGATCTCTGCTGAGATATTTGAAAAATACTAAATGTCGCAAAACTTCTGGTACACCCGATATATTCACTTGGTCAACAACGTAAAACGGTGCAAAGATAAATTTTTTTATGATAATTATTTTTATATTTCATTAAAACATGAAAATCAGAACAAATCATTAGTATACATATGTACATTCAAAATATATTATCATGTTATATTACTTAAAAAAATAAAATACAATTTGAAAACTGCAATAGTATAAGTCATAATTACGATTTAAATCTACTTGACAACATACAAAATGGATGCATTGGATTAAAATGTCTCGAATTAACTGATGTCGATCATTTGATAGATGATATATACGTGCATGATATCATGTTTATTGTTTGCTCCTTAACCAAAAAGTGACCGCATTTGGAAAATGCAATAAAAAAAAATGAGACAATGCAACCTTACTTACTCTAACAAAGCAATCATTTTTCACTAATTGGCTTAAACTTTTTTGGCCGCAATAAATGCATAGCCCATAAACAAACATAATCTAATAATTTCTTTTCGTTTTTCTCTCTCGTTTAAGATCGAGCCATGTCCTCCTCCTCTGTCGACGGCAGCAGCAGCGCTACTACGAAGAATTTAGACACGGGGCGTAATCGCAAATAAGAGACTATAATCATCATAAACATGTACTTTTTAATAAAAAGAAAAAAAAAATTCTTTATATTAAAAACATTCACGATGCATGTTCAAGGCAAGTTTGCTTAAATTCTTATTCTTTTTTTTTTCTTGGCTTATAAATTGATCTTGTCCGTTTGCCTATATATTTTTTTTTACGATTTGAAGCTCAATTTTATTTTCATTGCTCACCAATTCCTATTTGCTTTTGCTCAGTATTTAGTTTGGCATGTGTCTCTGTTCTCTCTTTTTTCTGCTGCTTTTTTTAGAACAGCGAAATAAAGAATTATCATATACGTTACGTCTTTGTCATTTACATGCTACTAATGCTGATGGTACACAAGCTGCTACATTTGGTTTTGAATTAAGTGAAGATCCTGATTATGAATATCCAATCATATTACGTGTAGAACCACAATCACCAGCTGAAGGTGCTGGTTTACAATCACGTGACGTATTATTAAAAATTAATGAACGTAAAACAAAAGGTTTAGGTTATGATAAAGTTAGAAAAGAAATTGAAAAAGCTAAACGTGATGGACGATTAGAAATGCTTGTCGTTGATCAAGAAACATTTGATTATTGTCAACGAATGAAGAAACCATTAAAAGAGCCTGAAATGAAAGTGAAACATATTTTTCCAAAAAGTAGGTCATCAGCAAGTTTTCATAAATTACCTGTTGCTGCCATAGCAGCAGGAACATCTTCAAATTCGACAGAAGATAGTGCAGAACAGTTATATAATAGTAATACAAAATCGAATAATGATAGTATGCCATCTACTCATAATTCGTCACTTGGTTATCGTCTCTCGACACCAAAGGAAACTGATTCTGAGAATGAAGAAAATAATAAACAAGATTCACCTAAACAAAAATCACCACCTGCTATTGCCTCACAAGCCAGAACAGCACGCAATTCACATCCAACAGTTAGTTTTGATTTATCTACACCACCTAATACACTTGCTCATACTTCTGCTCGTTCTCACGAATCACCATTAAAATTTTTTGATCCTGCACATAAGACATCTGAACAAATGGGTACTTCTGCCACTGTTGATGAAAATGTGCTTAATGCATCACGTTCGACAGCATCATCACAACAAACATCAACTAAAGAATCAAAACCATCGAAGGCAAAAGCTATACCAAATGCAATTAATAATTTATTTCACAAAATTGGACATCCAAAATCATCAAAACGTTCGTGATGAGTTCTTTTTTTTCTTTTTTTTTGCATGTAGCTATTTTGACATCTTCTTCTTTGTTTCATTATTACTACTACAACTGTTGTCAGTTGTTATTTACAAACGTAGTGTTTTTATAGATTTTTTTTATATTTATTTCTATTATTATCACTTCTTTATATTGTTATTTCCGCACTGTACACACAACAACAAATGCACATTTTGCATGTTCGAGCACTCTATATCACAACAACTACTGTAGATAAAAGAAAAAAAAAACATCTTTTTTTCTCAATCTATATTGCACGCCTATGAACGACACAGTTGCACATAATTTTAGAAAAAATACAAACACGGTAGGTTATCTGACAATATCACATAGATATGATCTTAGTGTAGATTTATTAGAATAGAATATTCTGAGTACATTTAGTATTGCTTTATAGTTTAGAATACTTTGCTCTTTTGGTTTTGTTCTACTTTATTGATATCGAGTAAAAGATATGTTGATAATTTTGATGGCCACAATTAAGAAAAATAATACATATTTCTCATAATGAACGAATTACTTTTGATAAAGACAAAAAGCCGAGCTACGATTTTCACCGTTGGAAAGAAGAGACTTGAAGACATCGAAGTGTATAAGAAATAAAATGTTTACAAACATTTTTAGAACGCTTTGAAAACAGAGTTTTTTGAAGTTTCCTTAAGGCATTAAATTCAAAGTAGACCAGTTTGTTTTAATCTTGATGTTTCAAAAACCACTCAAAAAATCATCAATATTATCTTTTCTTAAATCATTCATTACCTCCAAATTTCTTCCTTTGTATGGTAAAAAACTGCATGTCTGTTTCTTGTTTCTATCACAAAGTTATTCACAATCAAAAACTACTTCATGACTTTCAGACCATCTCTGTATTTATAAAAATGATATGAACTAAAAGGTATATTTCGAGAAAAATATGGGAAATAGGATCTCTTACGACTGAAAAATATAGAAAACTTAAAAGAAAAGTGAAACTCCTGAATATAGGTATATTATGATGATAAGAAAGGTAAATCGAGTTCGACAAGAGTTTGATCCTTTTCTTTTGTCAATATAAATAGATGATATGTAGAATAGAAGTGAATAAATTATTTTATCTTCTATGCTTTTTTTCCTGTAGTTGACTATGATGCTCCTCCAAAAGCAAAAGTTAGTTCAAAAACACGTGCTCCTTCTCCACCAACTGTCCGTGTCGGACATAATCGATTAGAAGTACCACGCGTTTCACAATCACTTGATACAGTTGCTAATAACACAACAACTGTACCTGTTTCAACAATTCATGATACAGTTCGTTCAACAATATCAACTGGATCATTTGACTATCTTCGAGGTCCTCGTCGTTGTGTACTCAAAGTAGATCGTAATAAAGGTCTTGGCTTTGTTCTTAGTGCCACCGGTGATTACGATCATACAATTACAGCTGTTGAAAAAGTTTGTTAACTAAATTCTAATTTTATTGATTTATAATTTATTATCCTTTGATTTGTTATTCAATAGTATTCAGCAGCTGATGTCGCTGGCTTACAAGTTAATGATGAAGTATTAGAAGTCGATGGTGTCGATGTAAGAAATGTTAAATATGAGCAAGTATGTACTGTTCTATATTTGAAATATGAATTTTATTTTGAAAGAATAATCCATAATACTAAACAAAACAAAATATTATTTTTTTAAGGTAGTTGACATGCTTGTCTCTGCAATGAGAACGAATGAAACAATTGAAATGCGTGTTGTTGATGGATCTGCTCGTGATGTTTATACATCAACAACGGATGCTGATAAACAGGCAAATCCCAATAGTTTATTAAATAGCAATAACAATAACAATAATACAGTAACAACAACAACAACAGCGATTCATTCACAAAATACAACAGGTGTTTCGGGTGATGATTTATCTGATATAAATAGTTCAGTAAGTCCATTTGATAGTCTTAATCTACAAAAAATTGCTACGAGTTATCCAAATTTACCTGGACAATTGAAACACCTTGATAATGTTACAAATCGTGCTCTTAGTGGAAGTGTACCTGCGCTTTCTACAGGTATAAATTTTTTATTATATTTTCTTCTTAATTTTTTAATTTTCTAGGAATTACGGCGTCTCCAACTAGAATTCATCTAGCAAAACATATTTCACCTTCATCCGAAAGTAGGTTTATTTATTTAATTTTCTTTTTTTTGCGAAACTCACATATATTTTCGAAGAGAATAGCGAGTGGAAATTTTAACTGCAAGTTTTGTGATTTTGCACCAAGGCGAAAAAGCGAGACTCGCTTTTTCGTTATGCTCCTTCCTCAGTCACTTTCTCCATTACAGATTTTAGCAACCAGAGTATTCATTGATTATGTTTCCATGATAACCGAGGACAACAAGCGACAAACTTCCATTCCAGAATTCATTAGCAATAGGAAAAAGATGCTGAACGGTATAAACAACAAGACATGATTGTGTTCTAGAACATCTCGAAACATGCCTCGAAATCTGAATGACTGAAATGTGTTTGTGAGTGTTTGAAACAGTGTAGTTTTTACGTATTGCACCGATAAAAATTTATATTCAAGATGTTAAATATGATGACTAGTGATTTGCCTCAGTAGTTATATGGTCCACATAAAAAGTGTGAACTGATCAACTTATAGTGTTCTAAAATAATCAATATAAATGTTTGGAGCACCGATAAAGAAAAGAAAATGTAGAAATAAACTCTGATGACCGATTATCTCGGAAAACAACTAGTCTGAAAGCAATTTTTCATTTTACATATTTTGTACTAGTAAAATGAAGTTAAAGAATACATGTGAATTCCACATTTTTCTCTTAATGGGACTGCACTAACAAGTTTTTCTTTGTCTAAATTATTGCTATGATGAATTTTGTTTTACTATATATGTAGAAGGTTCAATAAATAAATTATCAGATATTTTAACACAAGATGCACCGGTTGCACGTCTTTGTCGTATTCGAAAATTTGCAACATCACCATTTTATGGCTTTTTCTTATGTGGTGATCCAAAAAAAAATGGGTAAAATATATTCTTATCATGATAATTTTTTCTCATGATATTATTTGATTTAATTTAGTCGAGTATTCATTTCTGATGTAACAAAACATTCACCAGCAGCAGTTTGTGGGTTACGAGATGGTGATCGTATCATTGAAATAAATGGTTCGATTGTTAATGGATTAACATATGAAACGATCTTAGATAAAATAAAACATCATATGGGACGTGATGATCTTGAATTACTTGTACTTGATAAAAAATCTGTTCAATGGTATCGTGAAAGAAATTATCCAATAACATCACGAACATTACCAACTATTGTTCATATTGAACCAATTATTAATGATACAAATTCAGAAACACAATCTTCAGAAGTACCAGCTACGCATACTAAATTGGTTGGATTTGCAGGTATGTTTTATTGATCGTCTTTATATAGATCTTATCTATCTATATTATTACTTAGATCGACGAGTATCAAAAACGGGTCTTTGATTTAAATATTAAAGAATTATTAACATATATGGAGAGTTCTAAATACTTGCCTCGTTGTCTTGTTTTTTTATTTCTTCTGTATACAATGTGTTTATGTGCCTGTATGTTTTTACTTTCTTTATCAAAAAAAAAAAAAAAACAGCAAATGAAATATAATACTATTTGTAGTCTGTAGTGTTCTCTTTTCTTTCTATCAGGAATTTCATCATCTGCCTCACATGTATTTGTTCATTTTTTATAAATTTTATCATATCTTTTTTTTTCTATGTATGATTATCTATTGTCCTTTTCTTGCTTGTTATATTCTTGTTTTGTTTTCTTGTCTTAATATTCTTCTTTTACTGCTTTATATAGTCCTCTTGTATGTAAGAAAACAGAACGATAGATAGTGAAGTATTTGCACGTTTACACATACATGTGAGGGTCAGATTTTCTCTAAGTTTTGCACGTTTTTTTTTTCTTTTCTAATTCATTTCATTGTTCATTCTCGTATAGTAATATACTGGCCACTTGATTTATAAAATTTAACATATGTCTTTAAAACAAATCTTAATGAAATGAAAATGAAATCTTTGTCATTGAATATTTTATTCAAGAAAAAAAGTAGCTTTAACAGTCTACTACAATGTGAATTTCAAATTAAATTCAAGTAATTAGGAATTGTCATCTGATATCTGAATTTTCAGAAGTTTTTTTTTTGTGTTATAAATTGTCTCGTCTTCTTATAGTATAGAATGTTTTATTGTATCAAAAGATGTTAAAACATAATAAAATTTCGTGGAATTGATTGTATAAATATTAATTACTTGGTTTTTCAATGAATATTTTTACTAAGATTAATTTTCTTCTATGAAATTTTAGTGGACAGATGAAAACGACAATTCTATGTAATGATAGAATGGATTGAATAAAATATTTCACATCAAATAAATATGACCCGCAGACTAGTTTCTGGCACTTAAATACAAGCAAGAGAACTATAGATGAAGGACACATAAGGTTGGCCGTAGAAAAATCGACCGAAAAAATTTCAAATCAATAATTGTATTAGCTATAAAATGATATTTTTTCACGAGAATATTCCTATGATATCAAATAGAATAAACAGTATACTTTATGTCAAATGAACACTCATTGAAAATGAGATTTATCAGTTTAAATAGTAAGAGCTATGAAAGCTTTTCAATGTCGAATTCAGAAAATTTCGAAAACTTTACTCCCTACCGGCACAGAAACATTGCTACTACAAAGCAGTTCAAACCAGATCGGATTCCAAAATATAGAATGGTACAAAGAAACAGACACTTGACCTGAAAATATTAGAACACTAATCCAAAATGAAGTTAAAAAATGCTATCAGAGATGGCACGTAATCATTAGTATGAAAGAACTCTGAAAAAAACACATTTTATGTTTTGATGAACATGGAAACTAATTTTAATTAATTTTCAATTCGTTTATGGTTGTATCCATCTCATCTGCATGCTGTAAAGAATGCTCGTACTTGTCATATTGATTATGACTTGAATTTGTTGAACCTTAAAAAAAACAAATACTACTTAGTGATATTCGTCGTTTTACATCAGATCTAGTTTGAACGGACTCATAACAGGAAATTTTCTATGTTAGTAGCGAGTATATAGAAATTTTCTGAATTCGACATTGAAAAGCTTTCGCAGTTTTTACTATTTAATACTGATGAATTCCATTTTCGATGAGCTTTCATTCGATGTAAAGTTTATTATTTACTCTATTAAAAATCATAGCAATATCTTCCTGACAAAATATTGAAAACGTGACGTTTCCAGGGTGTGTTAGTGTAGGTAAAGTGAAGACTACAATCAACCCCATACGCTAACACTCCTTATACCAAAAACAAAGCATGTTTTGTTAATTGAAATTTTCAATGTGTTTCCTTTCAACATTTCTAAAGCAAAACAAATCTAATAGTTAACAACAATTTATCTAGTATATTAGTCTTTTTTTTCTTTTATGTGAGTCTCTATTCTTTCTATTGTTGTGATATTTAATTGATCAAAAACAAATGATGCAAGAATAAAATTTTATCCTAATGTATAAGATAATATTCATTCGATGAAATGGGCACAGAACTATTTATCAAAGGATATAAAAGAATAAGATAGTATCTATTAATTACACACAATCATAAAACTAACTATTGAATTTATTCGGATTCACACAGTTCAATAATATTCTTCTAACTAAATAACTCAAAGTGAATTGTCATCAATGTAAGAATCAATATCAGTACCATCATTTCGAATAAAATTCATCATATACTGTATACTTCGAGTGCCAAAAGGAAGATCTGAAGTCGTGCTATACAAACACCAACCAGGATTACTTCCACAAATTCGTAACCCCGAATTCACAGTGCCTAATGTAGTATTAGTTGTTGATCTAAATGTGACAATTACTTGAGCTTCATCCGTAGAAAGAAAGAAATAATAATAGTTCTGATAATAAAATTTATTTTCAACTTGTAATGTTCCTGAATCAAGCTAAGCAGCATTAAAATTGTGTATACCACCAAATAGATTGACAATTTGATAAAGACCTGCTGATGATCCACCTGACCCATAACCACCAGAAAACATTCCAGCACCCGATCGTGGGTTATAACCAGTATTAATCGTTTCACCAGTATCTTGAATAGCTGTTGCTGGACCAGTTTGTGTCCAATTAACAAGACCAGAATCACCACCGGAATTCACTAATAAATTTGGTGGTACCATTGTGATTGTAGCTATAATCGTAGTGAATATTTGATGACTTAATTAGAAATAAAATTGTGATAATAGAGAAATATTCACTTGTTGTTACACCTAAAAAAAGTCAAAAAAAACTTTTATAAAGTTTTCTTTAAAGATTAATATATTTGAATACATACTAGTGGTCATTGTGGTACGAGTTGTTGTCGCTGAACAAAGAAAATTCCTTAGTGGACGATGAGAAATCTCGCAAATACCTTTGTAAAAAAACTTACAAGTTGACGAACTTCTTGTCGTACTTGTTGCTATGAAAATATTGCTGTCATATGGATATTTCTAATAAATTATGCTTCTCTTACTTGTTGTTGAACGTGTCGAACCTAAAAGTTTACACAAAAAATAGAAGAAATATCAAAATAGACATAGTTAATTTAGAAACATAAGAGGAAACATTCTTTAAACAATATTTACTGGAAGAAATATCATATAGTGATTTATATTATACAACAAAATATATACTAAAGGTAAGAGCTTCATTAACTAATTGCATAGCTCTACTAAACTTCAATTGTTGACAAGAATTCATAAATAGTATATTTTTCTTTTCGTGTAATATAATAATATAAAGTAATATATTTTAATGTAACATAATCGAAAAAAAGATAAAATGATCTCTTACTTATTGTTGAATTCGTTGATGTGACTGGATTAGTAAATTAAAAATTTAGAGTTTATCCGATATACGAGCAGACATAAGTATGAAAAAAACTAACAAGTTGTCATGGATGTAGTCGAACTTGTTGCTAAAGAGAAAGGCAAAATGATTTAAATCTGAGCTAAAATATGTCAAATGAATACTGATAAATTGAAGTTATGGATGTTAAGGTTGATATAATACATTAAATTTAAAGAAATTGTATTTTTTGCAATACGAAAACTTATTAGAGGTACTTGTACTTGCTGAAGTTGCGGCTTGAAATTACAGGATACCAAAAAAACAAGGATGAATGAAGCAAGATAAAAGATTAAAAACAGATCATACATGTTGTTACAGTTGTTATGGAACTTGTTGCTGAAAAGAACAAACAACATTTTGAATGTTTAAGCAAAAAGAAAGACATTTTACTAATACTAGTAGTATCTGTGGTTGTTGTAGTGAACAAGAATGAGTTTGCTAAAGAAACCAGCAATTTAAGGCTTGACGAAAAAAATCATCGATCATCAAATACTTACAAATGGTATTGGTAGTTGTTGTAAAGGTTGTTGATGAGGTTGCTAGTACAACCATAAACCATTTTTTCATCTAAAAGATTTTGCAATAATGTCATCTTACAAGTTGTCTGAGATATTGTCGACGTGGTCGATGATGATGTATCTAAGAGTCTATTACTTGAAACAAGACCCAACTTCTAGAATCTTACTTGTCGTGTCTGAAGTAGTTGAAGTTGAAGCTAAAAACAGAGATAGATGAAAAGAGTGAACGAGAACATATCATACTGCTTCTGGATAAGACAGTTGTTATTGACGAAGTCGAAACTGAGAAAATATGTGGAACTGAATAGTGGAACAAGAAAATATTGGACTCACTACTTTCGGTAATTGAAATTGTAGTTGAGCTTACTGCGAAACAAACGAACATCGCCATTCTACATCATTCATCAATATTATTTCAATCTTACAGATTGTTTCAGCTGTTGTAGACATGGTCAACGATGATGCACCTAAGAGACAATCAGTTAAGAACGAAAACTTAAATTGAAAAAGCTTACTTGATGTGCTCGAAGTAGTCGAATTTGTTGCTAGAAACAAAAATTTACGAAGAAGATCAACAAAAAGAATCTCACTGCTAGTTGTTGTGTCAGTTGTCGTTGACGAAGTGTATACTAATAGATTAAAAACGATTGGATTGTCGATTGAGAAAATAAAATACTCACTAATTTTAGTAGTTGAGCTTGCTGTAGAAGTTGTTAAAGAATAAGGATAAATCGACATTGAAGTGTCGTTTTAAAACTATGTGAGACTCACTAGTTGTTTCAGATGTTGTGAACTTGGTCGATGTTGATATGCCTATGAAATAATTACTTGAAAAAGAAAACTGAAATAGGAAAATTTCACTTGTAGTGTCTGAAATGGTCGAAGTTTATGATAGAAAGAAGGATTGGTAGCCAAGATTTAGAGAAAACTTTTACTGGCAGTAACCGTATTAATTATTGTTGTATATATAGCTGTTGTAAAGTACTTACAGTTTGTTTCAGTTGTTGTTGTTGAAGTAGACGCTAAAATAATGCAAAGGATTAAAAACTTGGATCAAATGGATACTGAAACTAACTAATATTAATATTAATTGTGCTAGTGATTGATGTTGCCATAGAATACATTTGAACTCAGATTCTATTTAGAACTATGATTTTGATTTTAGATTTACAAGTTGTTGAGGAGGTAGTTGCGCTGATTAGCATCAATGTAGCAAATAAAAAGAAAAGAAATCATTCATGAGAGGACCTCGTAGATAATTCTTTCCTAACAAATGTGAATATTACTCATTGAAATGAAAGTTATAAATGAAAACAACTTAATTATTTGAAACGCATTGGTGAGACCTTTGCTGCTTTTACTAATAGTCGAAGTCAACACTATCAGTACAAAACAATTTCAACATACAATCTTCAGAATTAAATCTACTCCGAGAACTACAAGAATCTGTAGTTGGTACTGTTATATTTAACACAAAAAAAGAATATGAGTAATGTTGAACTTTTCGAAAACTTATGCGTAATTTATACAATAGTAGGATTAGACGATGTCGAACATATTAAACCGCAAAGTATGATTTTGAGAAAGAAAAAAAAACCTTAAGTTTTTATTGAGCATATCTAGTAGCAGTAGATGATGTGCTTATCACAAGAGTTAATAATTATTTTAAAGAAATTAAATGAATCAATGATAATTTTTACTTGTTGGTAATGGCATTGAAATATTCGATACTGTAGATACTAAAACATCGAAAAAATGTGAAGTATGATTTATAGAATGTTAAACTTAACAAACCAGGTATATTAGACATTGTATTCAAAAATATAACTAAAGATGAAAAGGCTATAAATTATATTTGCATAACATTGACTATCTTTCAAACCTGCTCCAAGCAACGGTGTACTAGTGGTTGATTCACGATTCTGGTTCGTTTTCATTGCTACTGGTATTCCAGCAGCACAACCCAATATAATAATAACTATGCTAACACCCAATGTTATCCAAATATTTCGTTGTATACAGTTTTCTCTAAATTAATATTCATTTATAAACTCTATATCTAGATGAATTACTTTTAATGAATTTTGTCTTTCTCTCTCTTCCACTATGAAGAGTTTCTTTTCAATTGCAACAGACATTTTAAATAACAAAGATAATCTTTCTATCATGATAAAAAATCATACTCTTGTTTGTCAGAGATTGATTTGAGTTGATTGATATCCAAATGGACTTGACGAGGTGTTGGTGCCTACAAATTGATAATACTATCTAGAGGATTAGATAAACAGCATGAATATATACAAGTATTGGTACAGAATCTACAACATCCCGATTGGACACCATTTTATCCGATAGTAAAGGCTATAAAATCTTTTTCTAGGTATGATTTTATCTTTAATTAAATGATTACTTTAACAACGATGCAGTAAAATGACTTCTTACCGCAAAATATGTAGCCATGTATAATGCTTCTTTTCTCTTTGTATTCATATTTTCAAAACCTTAAAAAATGTAGTTCTAATAAGAGTTCATGTCAATCTTAACTAGTAATAATTGAAAAAACATCGATATTTTGATAAAGAAATGGAGTCTCAATAAAGGTATCACCTTTAAATGCTTAACTTAAAAATCATATGAACTTCTTTTACTTTCTGTTGATAAATTTGTTTTTTTTTTTGGTGAAATATAAGTCGAGTAAACAACATATATGGGTGGATTTATATTTGTCTATCATTGCCGATTTATAGATGAAATAATTACAACTTTGATGCACATTTGTTCGACCCGAAATCATAGAAGTTCTTGATCTTTCGATTTCATTCCTTAGAGAACAAAACCATATATATTCGTTTATTATTAAAGACAATGTCACGCAATTTTTTTTCTAAAACTGATAAAAATGTTGTTCACGTGTGATGAATTATATATGAAAATTTATATCCTTCTAGAATATCATTTTACATTTTTTCAAAAAAAAAGATTTCTTTGATGCAAGTTCTATTTTAAGACGTTGTAAATTTTTCGTTTTTGATGGACGGTTTCTTGTTTTTATAAAACTAGAATGTGTTTCATATTAGTCTCGAAATTTATTTTCTTAAAAATCCTCGATATCAAGTTTAAAATAAATGAGTTATGGAAATTATTATAGACTTAGAATACAATAATTACGATAGTTTTATTTTTCTCTAAAGGAAAAACGAAATCATTAATAATATCTTTGAGTATTTTATGTCTTGGCAAAAACTTGAAAATAAATTCCTATACAATTTTATACAACTAAAATGATCTATCTAGATAATCTACTGAACATCACAAATTTGTTTGTGAATAAGATCAATATAAACTACATGAAAATGACGTAAAGCGTTGTCTAAATAACGACATAATTTTACAACAGTTCATAAAAACAAAAAAAAAAAGAACTTAAGATATATATATTTTTTAAGGTAGTTCTAGTTCATCGTCATCATATGTCTGAAATCCATACATTTTAAGTTGGTCAACAAAATCAGTTGTTGTCCAATTATTAATTAAATTTTGATCATTTAAAAGACGATAAATATTAGCTATTTGTTTTTTTTGAATTTCTTCTTCAGAACCTTCAACAGTATCAACTAATATATTATCTGATGTTTGTTCATTATCTATTTCATTGCCATTTGTATTTCCTTCTAAAGATATGTCAACTTCAGATAATGATCGACTATCATTAATATTATTTGATTCGTCAATTATTATTAATGGTAATGATGGTTCTATCGGTTCTTCTGTTGGTAGTGTTACTGTAATAGGCTTGTCTAGATCATCGTAATCATGATCGCTAAGAGCACATGTAGCATCATCAAGCGACATGTGTTGATGACTTGTCGTATATTTATAAAAGGCTGATGCAAGAATAGCACAAAGAAATGAGACAAATACGGCAAGAACACTAAGGCCTGAACTAAGACAAAAATTTACCACAGCACACCTAAAATAAATAAAAATAAATTGAAAAACGAAATCTATATAACTCTAAATTATAATATATACGATGATGCCCAGATAAATTCACCAACTGCAGCTATAATAACATCCATTAATATATTGTTGTTGGGAATCGATGTTCATCTTTATAGTTAACGAAGAGAATAAAAACAAGATGTTGATTCATTGCTTATTTTTTCCTTGCAACATCATATTATTATATACTTTGGATTAAAAGAAATGATTTTCATATTGAATTCATGCAGAAATAAAAGGATATTTGGTTCGTTTACTTAATAATGAAGATATATATATATAATATTTTATAATGCAACAGTAAGGTGATAAACTAAACAACTGAATAAATGAACGATGCAATTCTTCGATTGCAGTCGTCTCTTTTTTCTTTTTCTCTTTTTCTTGTGAAAAAAAAAAACTCGTCGCTCGGAGTTTCCTCTCCCTTTCTCGTTTATGTTGTATGATAAAGCAAGCAGTCAGAATTGAGTTTTCTTTGTACTTGTTCAAATAACAGCTCTGCAAGAAGAAAAAGAAAAAGAAGAAAGAGAAGAACAGGAGAAAAAAAAAGCGAAAGCCTATAATTCTGTTCTTAATATCGTCTCCACCAAGTTTCTTTCCTTTTACTTTTCTTTGCACGCATGCATACGATTATTGTACTTACCTGATTTAAGTTTTTCTTTGTCATATTATTTTTCTTTATTACTTATAAATAATATATGTCATCGTCGATATTACTATAAAAATTCTTTTTTAAGTTTCACATAACATCTAGTAAGATAATATCAAACATAAAAATACATGTGTATAATAAATGAAGACGATTTCAATTTTTCAGAAAAAAATTAAATTATTTAATTGTAAAAAAATTGAACAAAGTAGATTATTTATAAAGAGATCAACACGACAAGAGATAAAATTTTTTTTTAAGTTTTACTATAAAGCAAATCAGAATAGTTCTTGTTCGCATCCAAACTCAGTTATATAGAAAAATGTCGATTTTTTCCTTATTCTCGCACATTTTGCCTTGTTCTTCCTACTGATTAGTCTAGATCATCTCGCAGGCGACTATTGTAAATTATGAGAATTCTTCATGTTATTCTCTTTCTTCTCATCTTGGTGTATTTCTATATAGTATGTGATCAGTTTATATGTGTACAAGGTTGTCAGCTCAAATATAACGGTATGACTGGCAAGATTCGTTAAGAAAATAGCGAACTGACATTATCTTCTTATTTTTCTTTCTCACCAGATTAGTATTCATTCATGCTGAATGACAAATTTCCTGATAAACTACTATGACGATCTTCCTGTCTCTCAAATGAATTCAGTTTCGAATCTATTTACGTAACTGAAAATCATTGAAGGAAATATTGACATATTATTTGATTAAATTTTCTAGTTTAATTCGGTCAAACGGAATAATATTAAGATCGAATATAAAATGAAATAGTTAATTATAAAATGTTTTCTTAAGAAAAATTTGTTAATATACATTGTTTTCTTTCTATAATGAAAGAAAACTTTTCCATTTTGAGAAAAACAATAACAAAATATCGTTCTTAATTACTTCATATTTATGTGGAATTTAATTGTACATGCTTCTGTGAAATAGTTATATATAAAGAATTTTAAATATGGATCAATAAACACAATGAAATAATTGATGTTGAATACAATTTTATGCTTGAATTAAACTTCGCTAGATCAATATGAAATATGAAAAAAGTCGCAAACAAAAGAAACAGATTGAATATATTGTTTGTTATTCATACTGTTGCGAGAAAACAAAAATTCTTTAATTTCATTATTTGTCTATTAGTGAACTAAATAATAATGACTTTTAATGGAAACTCTATGCATGATCATAATATCATTTTGCTTCTTATTGACGAGATGTACTCGTATAAATAGATTAAATGTCATTGGAATACGTTTATTACAAAGTCCCAAGTCTGGTTAACGAATAGGATTATTTTGAAAAGTGAGATGATTCGACATATGAAAAATAGTTACAACATCTCCATTTTTATGTACAATATAGAGTTTGACATATGTCAAAACAACAAAACTATTTAAAATTTTCTAATTAGATAGGATCATATTGATGGCTGCAGTACCTACATATTGACTATATAAACACATCTAATAGAAATGATAATCAAATATATGTATGATGGTATTGAAATGATAAAGTCATATTTGTACGGTGAAGATATTTGTTTACTTTAAATAACTATGCATTATAATTAGAATACATGATAATGCTGCTGTACATACTAATACTAACAATATTATTTATATTACTAATAATCTCTCTACGTTTCTCATTGTTCTGCTGAACAAATAAATGAAAAGGAAATAATCATGTGTCGATTTTGAGTTCTCATGACTTAACAAGTTTGTGTGTCATTAAATCTAAATAATCTTTTATTTTATATCTTTTTACATGTAACTACTGAACGTTTTAGTAAGATTGATTATAGATATATATCGAATAATTACTTGAGTTTAGACCAAGAATATAGAACATTTTTACGAAACTAACCGACTATCTTTTTGATACTTATAACAGCAGCAACTCTTTTCAACAGTCAAAATCAAAGGCTCATACAGAAATAAAGTCTATCAATAGCATAATTAGTTATCATCTATCGTATAGCGTATATTTATGTACTTTTGAACAAACGATTAAAACCACATTGGATGATAAATGATCCAAGTCAGTACTAGTTTACTGGTCATGACTTATATCATATTGTATAAGATGAAGTAGTACTTTTATTATTTAATAAATTTCATTAAAACACATGGTAAATACAAGCAATTTAAAATGACAGAACAATGAATCAATATGATTGTAGGAATTGATGTTGAATCTATTTTTGTATACTACAAAAAAAAATCTGCCTTGTAATTGCCTAGTTTTTGCGACTGTATATAACTAGAAGTTATAAAAGAAATAACTTTTTACTTTAATCACAGATAATTAGAGACTCTTTACCGTGTTTCAATCTTAAACCGACGAAAATTTTTTTGTTCTATTTAAAGAAAAAATGATTCACAGTATATTTCGAAAACTAATGAAATCAAAAATATCGTACGTTTAATATTATAACAAGTAGTAACGTTCAAAAATATATTAATCGAAAAAATACTTCTCATAGATTGAGGAAACTAGGTCATGTTCTGAAGGACTTATAAAAAAAAGCACTGAAGTCAATGATCTTTATTCAAGACATAACTTCTTATATGAGCTATCAGAAGAGTGATTGAACTCTATTTGATTTATCATCGATTCATAGATACTTTTTTTTCCTGTTATTTGTTCGTATATCGAAAGATTTAAAACAAAAATTTAACAATAGAGAAATAAAAAAAAAACATCAGTTTGATTCAAAAGTAACTGTACTAAACATCATGAATATTTATAAATGTTTGATGTCAAGTTCTAACCTCAGTAAAGGTTTCGTTATCGAAAAACAATATTTCTAAAATGTCTTTTGAAATAAAATTAAAAAAACAAGTTGTTTTCAAGAGTTGAATTTAAAGAAAGATTAATCTTTTAATTCAATAAATCAATAGTTAATTCTCATTGATTTAGTTTAAGATTAAATTGATAACAAACTAAATTATAATTCGTTCTTAGTAAATATAAAAAAACATATGAATAAAGGTGTAAGATCTTTCTATATTGTTCTTTTAATAATAAACAAGTATTTTTCTTCTGTTTTCCTTCCTTCCTTTTGCTTTTCTTATTTTATAAGATCCTAACCTTAACGGATTAGTGTTGCATGTGTAGAGGATTGCATATTTCTTTTTTCTTTTCGTCAAATTTGTAAAACACTATAAAACAATATCAACTTAAAACTCTGTAAATTATATTATGTTTGACAATACATGCCTTTATGCATGGCTTACGGCTTTACTACCGTCAGTCAAACCTAAATACAATGATTTATCACTGTTAACAAGTATTATAACCAATTGACATCCATCTTTATCTGTCTTATTTGCATCCTCAATTATATCATGATTATTATCAGTAACTATAAAAATGAGAGATAATGCATTGAATATTTATTAAAATGGTAAAACAACATCAAGAATTCTATGCTGACTTGATACCGATTTTGAGCAAAAGAATAAAAAATGTTTGACATATTACAATTTTGAACTGAAATACTGATTAAATTAAACAGTCACTACGCTCTTCGTTTTTTTAATAGATTTTAAGTTTGACGTATAAGTTTGCAAAATTTTGATCAGTCATCAGCTGCCTCACGAATAAAATCAGTTGTTGATTAAGTTTAGTTTTACATCTTCGATTGATATCTTTAACGGTTTAAACTTCAAGCTAATTTAGGTCTAGAACAACAAATTTTTCATCCTAATCTCATCATATAAAAATTCTCTAATAACATTTTTGGTAGTCTTCTTATTAACTATTACCTTGGAACAACAGTTCTGCAGTTTTTTTTAGTTTGCTAGGAGAGTTTTAGGCCTTATATCTCGTGACTAGGAAGAGATATAAATTTGAAATTTTGAGAATTCATAGAGCGTCATGAGTTCTATAGACGCTAAAAATTTCCGAGTTATATCTTTTCCTAGTCATGAGATATAAGGCTTAAAACTCTCCTAAAAAACCAAAAACAAAATGTGCAGAGCTCATGTTTCTAGGTAATGAGAGTGTATCAGTGAATTCATAGGAAAGTCAACTATTCATATATTTCACCACTATGACACATGCCATCAGTAGTTTTCTGTTTTTTCTATCACATTAAACTAATAAGCGACATGTAACTGGAAGCAATGTAAAAACCTTCCAATTATAACAAAGAAACTTTTATTAAAATAACAACAAACAATAGCAAAATAGTTGTGATCATAAATATGCGGTACAAAACGGTTCTAGAATTAATTAGTCATGCTTATTAATATAGCGCTAGATTTGATCCATGTCGAAGTTTGTTCTTTAAAAAACTAGCCTATTTCATCATCTTTATTAAGGCAATTACATTTTCATTAATTATGTGCTCAAAGAATTCTGATTTCTTCTCTTCAATTCAAGTATTAATTAAATAACATTTCTGTTATC